CACTTGTGCGCATAGGAATGTGGTGTGTAGACTTAGTCAACCTATCAACAACCACCCAAACAGCATCCTTATCTCGTTGTGTCCTTGGAAGTCCAACCACAAAATCCTTGGTAACATGCTCCGATTTCCACTCCACTATAGGTAAAGGTTGTAACAAACCTGTTGGTTTTTGGTATTCGACCTTCAATTGTTGGCAACTAAGGCATTTTGATACAAATGAAGCGACATCCCGTTTCATGCCTCTCCACCAAAACTAGAAACTAAGATCAAGGTACATTTTTGTGCCTCTCAGATGTACTGCAAAGCGTGAATGATGAAACTCCTGAAGTACCTCCTCTCTATAAGATTCTAGCACAAACAAATGATCTAACTATGTCACACTCATATTCGTATGAATGTTCAAACCCTTCTCTTCCTTCCCGTTGGAGATTCTCTCACAGATTGTCTCCACCTCACGGTCACCCTATTGTGCTTCTATGACTTTGCTAAGCAAGGTGGGTTGTACGATCAAAGTAAATAAGCTAGCACCCTCACTAGACTCGCCAAGTTGCAAGTTATACTAGCCAATATCACCCAACATAACCCATTCCCGAATGGCCATACTAGCCACAGTACTCATAGACTTCCGACTAAGGGTATCGGCCATAACATTGGCCTTTCTCGGATGATAGTGTAACTCCAAATCGTAGTCTTCTATAAACTCCATCCACCTACGTTGGTGCAAATTCAAATTTTTTTGAGAGAATAAGTATTTCAAGCTTTTGTGTCAGAATAGACATCAAACTTTTCACCGTACAAATAATGTCTCCAAATTTTCATGGCAAAGATTACTGCTGCTAACTCTAAGTCATGAGTGGGGTAATTCTTCTCGTGAGTCTTTAATTGTCAGGGCCCATAAGCTACAACATTCCCCTCTTGCATCAACATACAACCCAGCCCATCCTGAGATGTATCACAATACATGGTATAACCTAGACCCTTTCCGAAATTATCAAAACTAGAGTGGTAGTCAACCTAGTCTTAAGTTCTTGAAATGACTTCTCACAAATCTCGTTCCACACATATTTGATACCCTTTCTGGTCAGCCTGGTCAACGGTACAACTAATCTAGAGAAGTCCCTCACAAAACGGCAGTAATACTCGGCTAACCCCAAGAAACTTCAGATTTCATACGCGTTCTTAGGCCGTTCCCAATCTTGTACGACATCTATCTTGGAGGAATCAACGGTTACCCCTTCTCCGGACACAACATGCACTAAACACTTCACCTCAGTTAGCCAAAACTCACATTCTCAATTTTAGCAAACAACTTGTGCACCCTAAGCAAGTCAAGTACTACCCACAAGTGTTCCTTGTGTTCATTCTCGGAGGGTCAATAAATTAAAATGTCATCCACAAAGACAACTACTAATTGATCTAAGAACTCTCGGAAGACTTGATTCATTAAGTCCATGAACGAAGCCGGTGCATTGGTCAACCCGAATGGCATAACAAGAAACTCATAATGGCTATAACACGTACAAAAGGCTGTTTTCTAGATATCTTCCTCCTTAACCCATAATTGATGATACCCTGATCTCAAGTCTATCTTCAAAAAGCAACAGGACCCCTTAAGTTGGTCAAATAAGTCATCTATCCTGGGTAGAGGATACTTGTTCTTAATAGTCACTCGATTTAATTTGCAGTAATCAATACACAATCGCAATGAACAATTATTCTTCTTTGCAAAGAGGGTCGACGCTCCCCAATGTGATGTACTAGAGTGAATAAAGCCCTTTTCTAAAAGTTTTTGGACTTAGATCTTCAACTCATATAACTCAGCGAGTGCAAATCTATATAGTTCCATGGAAATTGGTGTCATGCCGAGCACTAAGTCAATAAAGAATTCAATTTCTCGATGGGGTGGGAAACTAGTGAGATCTTCAGGAAAAACATTTGGGTATTCACAAACTACCCTCGGTAAGTCACTATGGATCCCACTACCTTCATTGGTTGAAGAAAGGGCAAAAATAAATCTAAGTTCTCCCCAACCCTTAAGGTCATACAATGGCAAAATCAAACTATCACCCCGATCACATAGGAAATAAAAACAATCCCCAATAGGTGTGCATATAGACACTTGGTGGCGCTAACAATCTATCGTGGCCCAAAAATGTGACAACTAATCCATACCCAATATAACGTCAAAAGAGTGCACGTCTAAGATAATGAAAACAAAAGAGAGTTGGTCATCTGCGACCTCAATCTCGCAAGAGCGGCACACCCGCCCCAACGCCAATTTATCCCCAACTAGTGACTCAACCCACAATGGAGATTCTAGTTGATCAATCTCTAAACCCAAAGCAGAAGCAAAAGTAGTAGATATAAATGAATGCGACACACCAGTATCAACCAACACACTAGCTAGAGAATTGAACACAACAAAATTACCTCTCACAACCGAGGAACTTGGCAACTGCTCTGGCGTTGTAACTGCACACACACGCCCTTAGGGCCTCTAGTCAACTTCTTCATCTCTCAGAGCAAAGGCCTACTGTAGACACCCCATTTTTGACCGCCCTTAAGACTTGGGCACTACTGATGGTTTACTTGGTGGAGAAAGGTGTGCAGGGCAAAGGTTCAGTTTCTTCGGTAAGGTGAGAGTCAAATCCCAACTTCATACCCCTTTTGGACCAAAAAAACCTTGATCAAAAGATTTTAGACCTTAAAAACCTCTCTTTCAAAATGTTTTGAAAATAAAGTTCCTACGATGTTCCGACGCTCGTATTTCGTTAAATGTTGCGCTTTTCGGTAAACCGAGCAAGGACAAAATGGAAATGAATGAAAGAGAGATGAAATCTTTGAAAAATCTTTCAAAACACTTTTTTTATGGGTTTGGAGTTGAAGAAAAGAGGAAAGGAGAGAAGAAAACTAGTTTGGGAGAAGTTCAGCATGAATTCGGGTAGGACCAAAACTGCGCGGCATCACCAAAACAGGCATAACTTTTTTCATAATTGGAATTTTTATCCAAGGTGTTAAAATTTACCATCACCTACCACCAATTTATCATCACCTACCACCAATTTACCATCACCTACCACCACCTACTCCTCACCTACTCCTCACCTACTACACTCACCCTCTCCTATATAATGAGCCACTCACCATTTGTAATATACACAATATCAATAAATACATCAATCAATAATACATCAATTTTAACATGGTATCAGAGCAATAAGATTTAGGCCTATACTCCATTCTTTCCGGCAGGCAGCCGGCCGGCAACTTTGCCTTCGCTGCCTGCTGGAGTTTTTCAACACATACCAAATCACTCTGCATGTGCTTCCTCCCCAGCTACTGTCCAAGCACACACACAAACACTCGACATAACCCCATCCCGCATCTTCTACGACTTCCAGTGCCGCCGCTTCACCCTCGCAGTCCTCGGCAAGAACGGTTGCTTCGTCGCAGGCGTACTCCACCTCCCCGGCCACCCTCCCGTCAAGCTCGACTCCCAACCTTCTCCAGATCGGCGACAAGGAGTTCTACTTTCTCCTCCCCGTTCGGAGCATCCTTGGCGGCCCGCTCGGGCCTCGCCACCATGGCGCCGTGGCAGCGGCGCACCATCACCTTCTGCCCCACCGTTGACCTGGACCGAGACAACCGCACGACCATCCCTGCCCGTCGAAACACGCAGAGAACGATCCTCTACTGCTCTGCAACGTCCGAAAAGAACCCACAGGAGCTGTTAATCACGCTCTGCTCATGCGGTCCTGATTCATCAACCAGATTTTGGTTCCTATCTCCTGAGAACTCAAGGATACAGCTGCACTTTGGTTCCTGATTCTCACTCTCGTTTTTTTTTCAAACCCCTTTTACTTTTCTTCTCTTATTTCTTTATTTTTTCTTTTCCTTCCTTTACCACTCACCCATGTGATCCCCTCCACCCAAAACCAATAAAATAAATCAATAAATAAGCCACAGGCCATTCACTTCACTTTTCTTGTTCTTATTATTTACACTTTTTCTCCACCCAAGACCATCATCACATTTTCCACCGCCCACTTTATTTTTTATTCTAAACCTTCATTGATGCTCTCAGACTGTTCCCCACTTTTTTTTATTATATATATATATATCTCTTTTTATTATATTTAAAAAAAAAAAAATCATCATCTCTCCTCCGTTTGATTTCCAACTCCATTCTTTTTTATTTATTTTCTCCATCCACTTTGCTTATTTCCCCCATCTTTCATTTTGATTTCACATATATTCTTATTATCTCTTTCTTTATTTTTTCTTTCACATTATTTTTAATCTTTTTCCAATTCAATTCATACCATATAGCTTTGCACACCAAACCATATTTTATTCATCTCAGGGATCCACCCCGATCACAATTTTACACCAAAAAAAAAACAAAAACAACAACCACACCCACAGTGGGATTTTTCTTCTCTACTCAGCCACCGGTCTCTTCTTTTTGCCTCCGTCCTGGGTAGCCCTTGACGGTGTTGCCTCCGTGTTTTCTACGCCACCGAGCACGTTCACTCCCCCATACTCCTCCACTGCAGCATATGGAGGACCTCCAAATCGGAACATCACGGTGGCCTTCCGCTTCAGCTCCTTGTTTTCTGCCCTTAGCACGCTTATCTCTGCTCGCGCATCCTTATACATGCGTTGGAGCAGAGCCAGCTGGGAGTTTAACTGCTGCACCTCATTTGTCCTACTCTGCAGCCGGTTCGACAAATTTGTTTGATGATGAACGGACTAAGCAAATCCAGCATGCACAAGTATAAACAAAAATGTCAGAGACATAAGAACAGAAGTAAACACATGCATACATACACACACGAGAGAGAGAGAGAGAGGGGCAGGTACTCACTACGACTCCTAGCATGGTGCTTGTGGCAAATAAATATAAGAAACTGCCGACTAACTGCAAAATTGTGCTTGAGTTTATATGAGATAGGTCAAAGCTCTGGATTGTGTGCACATATGAATAAAATTTGCAATATTTTTTTTTTGTCTTCGCTTCTGCCTCAAGCACAGCCTCCGCCTCAGTTTATAAAGACCCTGACGAAGAGGCAGACACGCGCATCATGCGCCGCTCGGCGCTCGACGCCAACCTGGACACACCTTTTGATGGCACGCCTTTTGATGGCACGCCTTTTGAAAAATTGAGCGCACCTTTTGAGGATGCGATTTTTTATGGGTCCGACAAGACTCTGTAAACTGTCCCGACATAGATTCCGGTTAGTTTCTACAAGGGTCCAGCAAGACTCCGTAAACTGTCACAACAACTGTCACAACATTGTCTACTACAACGGTCCGACATGACCCCCATAAACTGTCTTCTACAACGGTCCGACATGACCCCATAAACTGTCTTCTACATCAGTCTGACACCGTCATCCAGTGTCCTCTACACCGTTATGACACCCCCATACAGTGTCCTCTACAACGTTATGACACCCCCATACAGTGTCCTCTACAACGTTATGACACCAACATCCAATGACTTCACCAATGGTCTGACACGACCATACAGTGTCTCCTATCCTCTTTTATTTTTATGTATTTTCTTGTTTTGTTACTCTCTCCAAACTCAAGTTGGTTAGTTTCTATCCTCCTTGAGTTTGCGGGGGGCTGTTAAAATTTACCATCACCTACCACCAATTTATCATCACCTACCACCAATTTACCATCACCTACCACCACCTACTCCTCACCTACTCCTCACCTACTACACTCACCCTCTCCTATATAATGAGCCACTCACCATTTGTAATATACACAATATCAATAAATACATCAATCAATAATACATCAATTTTAACACAAGGATTCCACCATTGGAAATCTTACTTCCGGGGCTTCAATATGGACATAAGAATGACCTGAAAAGGAGTTCATATTAAGGAGTTATGCCCATTTGAAGTTAGACCTAAAAAGCAGAATTTTCCTGAAAAACCAGAAAAGTAGCTGGCCGACCAGAAAAAGTGGCTGGCCGACCACTTTCTCATGAAAAGTGGTCGGCCGACTAGTAAAAGTGGTGGGCCGACCACTTTAACTGGTCGGCGACCTTCCTGCATATTCTACAGGTGTTGTGGATGCCAGTTGTGCCAGTTGGAGTGCACAAATTGTATCCTCCATACACGTGTATGGAGGGATTGCATCTAGCTTCAAACTTCTTCAACAAGCTTGGTGCTTGTCTTTCTATAAGAGAAAAGGGTCTCTCTCTTGTCTTAGGTTCTGAAGTTGGCTAAGGGTGATAGATACATCTCCCTCTCTATATTCTTCTCTCCCTCTATGTTTTGTGTCTTAAAGAGTGTTATTCCTTCATTTGTGCACACAACCTCCTAGCCAAACACTCTTACCTTGTTACTGAGTTGCTGGAGTGTCTTGTGGGAGTTCAAAAGTTGGTTTTGGCTCAGGAAACCTGCTGGTTTTGTAGTGCTTCTAGGGTAACCCCTTTTTCTCCTCTTTAAGCTTTGTTTTTTGTTACTCTCCTAGCCATATTTGCATGCTGATTTGAGCTTAACTTCCTAGTAGAATTTTTTTTTTTAGTCCTTGTGATGTTTGTTTAAGGTCATTTTTGCATTGGGGGAGGTCCACCCTCTCTTAGGCCTTGTTAGGCCTTATTTTGAGCCATCCTTTTTTGCTCTTGTTCTAACGTTTGCATGACCTTTCTACCACTGAAATCCAGTGGATAATCCAGTGGATTTTCAGTGGTAGGAATGTGGTTTTAAGGCCTCAAATCAAAGGGGGGTGACCCCCTCTCTTTTGGTTTTGTTTGCTTGAGTTTTTGGCCTATCAAAGGGGCATGTGTCTCTTTACTTTTGAGGCTTGGTTCAGGCCCTTTTCTGTGACTTTTAGGACATGCCTTGACTCTGTCCATGGCTGGTTTGATCATCTTGTGCATGCTTCTTGTATGTGTAGTGTAATCCCATTTGTAGCTCATCAAAATAGCATGTCTTGCTAGCATGTTTTGGCTCCATTTCAGTAGATTTTTGGTCATCATTTGACATGTCATGACTCTATTTTTGACTGATTTGGTAGTCCTTTGCATGCTCCATGTACTTGTAAAACAAATCTTGCTTACTAGTCTTGTGTTCATGATGTTTTGGCTCATTATTCTAGCTTGTTTTGACTCCACTCTAGCACATTTTTGGCTTTGATTTAACATGCTTGAGGTCTGATTTAATTGATTTTGGTCATGCATGTTTGGTTTTGCATAGCAATAGTGCATATGGCTTTGCCAGCCTTGCACTATGGGACCCCTAGCATGTCATATTTGAGCCTCTTGCATAGCATGGCATCATTTAGTAGGTAATTTCAGACCATAAACTTATGCCATGCTCTCATGTTTATCACCCTTTCATTGTGTTTAAGAGTCATGCCCTCATGTCTTGTTTGTGGGCTAATTCGGGAGTCTATCTTTCTTGCCATCTTTGTTGCGAGCCTTTTTTGCTACCATATTAACCTGCATTAGGTCTGTTTTGAGTGCTTTAGGTCATTCAAGCATTGCTTGGTATGGTTGTAGTGTAAAGCCCTTGACTAGCTTTGTATTTCAAGTCTCTTGGCATGCTTTATTTGAGCTATTTGCATGATATTGCTTCACTTTGCATGTAATTTCAGAGCATATAGACTTGCCATGCTCCCACTTTTGTCACCCCTTGAGTGCCCCTAAGGGTTGTGTTCTTGCTGCCTAGCTTGTGGACCAATATGTGTGCATGTGTGTCTTGCCTTTTGGTGCCTTAGTCTTGGTGTTATGGCCACCGATTTGGGGATAACTGAGGTCAGTCCATCTTGGTTTAAGTCCATCGAGCATTGTGTATGCCAAGTGGTTCATTGCGTTGTGTATGCCATGTCCATTTGCATTGTGTATACTAGTTGTTGTTCATGTTGTTGCATGCTTGTGTTGCCTTGCATTGTGTATGAATGCATTAGCATTGTGCATGCCATTAGCCTTGTTAAGTTGTTCATGTTGCATTGCATATTTGCATGCTTGTGTTGCATTGCATTTTTGCATATCCCATGTTACGTAGCATTGTGCATGCCATGTTATGTGTTGCGTTGTGTTTGGAATAGGAGTTAGTCTGAACATAGGAAACGAGGGACGTTTCATACTTGAAGTGATGAAACGTGCCTCAATTTTCGGTCGCCGACACTCTTGACTATACATGATGGAGTTTTAGGCTTTACGTGTTCATATGTGCGTTCATTTCATATTGAGTTGCGTAATTCGGCTCCTAGGCCATCATGCATCGAGATGCGTGATTGATGGCCCGAGGATCGAGAACTATACTCCCTTGAGCTCATGTAATGATAGGGAGGATGGTTGTGCACACATGTGTTGCAAATACTTTGCCATGCCCCTCTCTTGCCCTCTGTTGCAGAAAACCAGAAACTAGCAGCAAAAACTGGTCGGCCGACCAAATAAAGTGGCAGGCAGACCACTTTTTCTGGTTTTCAACACAAAAAGTGACCGGCAGGTGGTCTCCAATGCCAACAACTGGTCGGCAGCATCCCTCCAGATTCCCAAGGTGGAGTTTCATCCCTCTGGAGCTTGGTACAAGTTTCTGAGATCAATTGCAAACAAAGGGAAGTCGGGGCATCGCGATGCATTTTCGAGCGAAGCGATTTGAGCATGCATGCATCCCTCGTCATGAGGCCATTTCAGTGTTTTGTTAGCTTAGAATGTATATTTGTTTCAATTTCGGTTGTGTAATAATTAATTAGCTAGAATAGTTAGTTAATTAATCAGTTCTGTATTATTTATTCGGACCCTCGGTCGAGAGGGCACAACTGTTGTAAATAAGTGTGCGTGTGTGTGATGCATGTCTTCCAACCCCCATTTCTTTCTCCCTTTTATTTACCAGCTTACGATGGTTAGTTTTAGGGCATGTTTCAATTAGCATCCTTATGCTCGCATGTTTGCATCCATTCATCTGTCTTGCATGCACCGGGCTCGACGCATCATACTAACTGCATTGTATTTCAATTCCTGTTTGAACACATGTATCAAATTGCATTTCACATGACATTTTAGAATAGACGAGCCTATCTTAGTTGCATTTTGCATGTGTTGCATTAGGCATTCTTGACATAGCTAGGATCATGCCTTGATTTCTAGCATAGCTTTTGTTTTGGCTCGGAGTATTCGGTAAGTGTTTATGCTTTAGCATCCTTGCATGTGTGTAAGTGACTGCCATGATAGCATGCTGGCCATGAGGCTAACTGCTTATGTGATACAACTGCCTAAATGCCTACGGGTGAAGGTTGGATTACTTGAATTGGAACAATTCATTGGTTGCGAGTTTTAAGCCCATTTAAGAGTGGCAAATCATGTTTTCTAAGCCCACTCGAGGGTGGCAAAATTCACGTCTTAGCCTACTTACGAGTAGCACCTTCAAACCATTTTCAAACAAACAAACATGAGATGATTTGTTCCAACTTAGGAGATCTAGTCTATACTTGTGTGTGTTTTCTAAAAACAAGATATCATGTTAGTAAAGGCCGATCTTTGATCGGGTGAGTGGGGGTGCTCATTGCATGACCTTCCCCTCTCGTACCCAAGTTCCCGAGCCGAGGCAACTTTGGTGATGACGGACACGTGGCCTTAGGCACGAGTCAGGGTTTCCTAAATTTTCTAAAACAAAAACATTTAGGTGGCGACTCTGTATATGGCAAAGCAGTCCATGTTTGACACTTCTTTATTAAAATCAGTTTTTCAAAACGATTTGCCAGATTTGGACTCTTTGGTGATTTATCGGTCTTGCATTGCACTTTGCGAGATTAGATTCAGAACCGTGACATTGAGTCCGAACTGTAGTGAGCCTAATGAACAAAACGGGATTTTTTTGGGACGTTCGGGCGCGTCTACAGTTTCTGGCGACTCTGCTGGGGACTTAGAGAAGTTGACTCGAACTCATGATAGCTTGTTTTGATTACACTTATGTGTTTCTTTGCATTGCATTTGCATTGGAGCGCCTAGGACACCGTGTTTTCCATCTGCTATTCCTGAATGGTTTGTTGGAGGCTCGCTTTGAGAAACGTGCCATAAGGCTAACCGGTTACGGGCTCTGCCACGATGGGAACACAAACCCCGGTTTTTATCGAGGCACCCTTTTTTGACCATTTGACCTAGTGCATATTCAGAATCCATAGTGACCATCCTAAACTAGGACAGGTTGCTTACCCGATTATAGGTTGTTTGAAACCGCTGCGTGCATAGTGAAACCCTAGCTCCTGACAAAATAGGACAGGGAAACCCTACCCCTCCATAGGGGTGTTTTGGCTCTTACTTGCTTGATTATGTGCTTTTAGAGTTGGCCTCTACAGGAATGCACGTATCAGTTTGCAAGTCTGGGTATCAGGCC